GTCTGCATTAATTAAACATTCATCTAAATAAATAACATCCTCTTCCATTAGATCCATTGTGCAACAGTCTGAATGTATGCGTGAGCAATGAATGTCAGTTTCATCCAAAAAAACTATTTTGTCGAATAATTTTACCCGCTAAAATTGTTCAATACTTGTTCTGCTGAGATAAAACAATTTCCGCCACATAGTTGTCTACAGATAAGCAAAAAATTTACAAAATAGATATAACCAAATAGAGTCGAACTGAGTAATAAATTATAGTTAAAACAGCAATTGTCAAATAAAAACGTATCATTAAACTTATGTATGTTAAAAAAGAATACATTTAAATAATAAATGAGAGAAATATTTGTTTTTTAGATTTTAAATCTACAATATTTTTTTAACTATAAGTAGCACAAAATTCTTAACTATAAGTAGCACAAAATAATTTTACCTGTAGATGCCAAATTCACCTTTAAGACGATCTGTTTGAAAAATACCGGGAAGAACATATCGGTGATCTTCTGAATGCAGTTTTTTTAATAATTCTACCAATCCTTGTAGGTTGTTAACTAAAGCATGTTTTGTTTCTGGTGTAAAAGTATTATGACGTTTTAATCCCTTTCCCTCTGACATCTTAGAAGTTGCATCAGCAAATGCTAAAATTTCTTTAAATCTAAGGTCATCGAGTGTCTGGAAAGGAGACCTATTGGTATCATTAAGTAAAACATCACAACCTTTTTCTCTTTACATTTAGCATGTTCCATAATGAAACAATTGGTGCTAAAAAACAGGCAGTGCTCTCAAAATTAGCTAATCACAATGCTGCGACGGTTTTTTCATTAAATACAGCAACCATGTTTGCAACATTTTGTCTATCAATCAAACACTGACTTGCGTAAAAGCTTTGTAGTTTTGACAAAACACATTTTCTGACTGTTATATAATTGAATAATGTGAGACCAATCACCAGAGAGAGGTTAATTATTAATTTTTAAACTAATTGTTTGTGTTTTTTCCGTAAACCAATTATTTCTTATACTTTTAAAAAAGTGAACTGGGTCGTGTAGCATAATAACTGGTTTTTCTTTTTCTAAAACACCTTGCCATGGAAAACTCTTATTAATAACAAAACTTTAGTAAACACTTTGTGGTAAACACTTTAGTAATAAACACTTTAGTAATAAACACTTTAGTATATAGTAAACACTTTAGTAAACACTTTGTGTGTAAATCAATTTGTGGAATGGTTATCTGATAAGAGACACAGTAATTCTCCTCCTGCATCAATTATATGTTTATAATCAAATCGTGAAGAAAGTGTACTGACAGTTTAAATATTAATACAATTCTACAAACAAAAGAAGGTTTACCAAACATAGGTTTAATCATAAAGACTAATAACGTTTTTGCAATTTTAGTGGGATTGTCCTCACTATATCCAATGAGGTGTCCTTCTCTGAAACTAACACTTGGTTTAATATACATCTCATCAAAGAGAAGGCAACAACGCTTTTCAGAATTATTAAAATTTTCAAAAACAACTTTGATTGTATGGTTGCATTTTTTTTCATTTCCAACTTCTACAACTCTTCCTAATTTTGAAATGAGAGTCTTTGGACTGGGCAAAAAAAGCAGATTTCTTTTATGTCGATAACAACATCTCGAGACCAAATACAGTTCAAGTGCGCGACGTATACATGAAGTAGAAAAGCGAAGTTCATTTGGAGAATAAGTGGTGAGGCGTAGTTGTTCAATGAAGAAAGAAATTTTTTCAGAAGTGTCACTGTATATATTTTCAATTTGACTAATCAAACTTAATACCTCATCTTTTATTTTATTATTATATGTTGACAATAGCTTCAAGCTGTGACCACTGAGTAAGACAATGAAAAAAACTGAGCAGGTCATAGCAGTTAACTTTTGTATGCTTACAATAAATATTAACTTGACGTGAATGACAATTAGTTTCAACAGAAATCATTGTTTCGGGTAGACATGATCGAGAAACATTAAACAATATGACTTTTGAATTTTCAATAAATGCAAAGTATTGAGAATATCTAGAATAGATTTAATAACAAGTAAACTTTAAATCAAAACAAACAAATATCATAAAACAAGGGGAAAAAAATTAATTTTACTTTTCTTTTATTTCAGACAACATTATTTCAACATCATAAAATCTAATTAAATCAATTTGATTGAAATCATCCATTTCATCAGGTATTGCATTTTGTGATGTTAAAGAAATTTTACTTATATTTGTAGATCTTAGTTGTGTTGAAACTGTTTGGCGCTCCATTGAAGATGTGCATCCAGGAAAAGTAGATGGGGATCAATAGGAACCTAAAAAAAAGATAATAATAAAATTAGTCATCGTAAAACTTATCAATAAAAACAATTTTAAGGATGCTTACCCCAAACTTTGATCGAGGAGGCTTGTGCATTTTGCAGCCTGGTGGCCAATGTTTTTCACACACACCAATATTTGAAGTTACTTTTTCAAACGCAT